ATTTAAATTAAATTTTTTGTTAGAATCAACGTTTTGATTATTGCAGTTTGCGTATAGTATGAATATTTATAAAAAAAACTGATCTTGTCAACTAATAAATCTTATTAAAAAATAAATTACAAAAAGATGGGCCGCACGATTTTTTGTATGACAATATCCAAATTCTATATTTTTAATTAGTTACATTTATATTTTTTTAAATTCTATAAATTCTTGGGTTAAGGCCACTCCAATTCAAATCTATGTTTAACATAACCCCCCCTCTTTCTGAGCAAAATAATAGAGGGGAATTAAACAACATATATATATATAAATCAGGCTCGAATAAACCTACTTCAGGTTCAAGTAGCCTATTTTTAGATTTAAAAAACCTATTTTAGAATCAAATAACTTGGGTTCAAGTAAACTATTGAACCTAAAATAAATTATTTGAACCAAGTGATCACTAGTTTAAACTAAATAATAAAGACAAATAATACCATATTTGTGAAGTAAAACTCCAGGTATATTATAAGATATTGAATTATACCCTGTTATAATATTAAGAAAAATACTGTATATAGTGATCAGAATTGAGCATCGTTGTGTTACAAACTTTAAATTTTCGAACTTCAGTAAAAATTTGACCAATATCTGAATGTTCACGTTTTTTAAATATAAATTAAATTTGTTTAATTAATATCGATTGAAATGTTTTATTAAATCAATATTTACAAAAATTGTTTATTTAATCAAAAATTTATCACTATCAAAACATATAGTTAAATTTAACTTTGACTGATGCTTGATAATTGACTGAATTAAAAATTCAATGAATGAAAGCTTATTTCGATGCATGAAATTTTTGACCGATGGTCGAATTATTATTTATCAATTCCACTCTCTAACTGTATAAAAGCAGGTACTATGTTAGAGAGGTACTACTATATAAAAATTGAGTTAATATATTGAAAATCGATTTTTGAGTATTTGGGTCCTTTTATACTGAAATTATTAAAAAAGAAATAGGGGTATATATTATTAAAATACGTGTAAGTTTAAGTAATTTAAATTTTATTTAAATATATCATTGATGTAATATTACATAATCAAAAAAATAAAAAAGGTTTGATCGATATATGATTGATCTTCCCATTTCATAACTTGAACAAAACTAGTAGATGGAAGAAGTCGAGAGAATAAAATGTAAATAGACAAACAAAGCAAAGTAAGAAGTGAGCAATAAATATTTGAGTGTATTTTAATTTGGCTTTGATAAATATTACAAACTTTGTTGAACAACATTTATAAGAACAAAGCGAGCATGTGAATATTTATATATTCCTTCACGTAATAAATGATGTGCGAGATATTTTACGCAAAATATGAAATCTACCAAAAATTTAATTTAAAAATGAAGTTCATCCATTCTTCTCAAAATCGCAAAAAAAAGTTTAATACAAGTAAATTCAGAAAGATATTCATCAAAAGAAAATTATCTCCATATTCAACTTTTTAGGAATACAAGGAATCTCATGATCATAAAACGTTGTTGTTTGAATACTCTAAATTCACATCGGATAATTTATTAACACATGAAAATTCAATGGATATATCAAGTTTAACGCCAAACTTTAATTACCTACTAAATTTAGTAAGCAAGCTATTTTATTACGTACAATATTTTTCTCTCTTAAGAATCATAGTAACGTAAAATTTTATATTTTATAGCTATTTCGCGCATTTTCAAGCAATTCATTTCAAATATAATTGGCTATAACAAGTTTATATAATAATATAATGTATTTTGACTATCGCTATATCAATATGTTTTGACTTTTCAATTTCTGGTCTCTAATAATTATTTCCTGGAAAGTCTAAAATATATGAACACTGGCAAAATTTATTAAATAATGGGTTTTTTTGTCGTATGCATACTTAGAGGAACGAAAACTATTATTCCAGATAAGGTTGTAAATGTGTTGCTTACTGAACATACTCTCTTTAATAACGTGTTTAATGCAACAACAAACGATCAATTTGAAGATTGTATTGTTCGAGTATTTTTGAGAAAGCCTCCAGAAAAATGGGTTTATGTAGAAGAAAGACTACAAGGCGATGTATCAATGCTATTTGAACTTAATTTTACCCATATTAAATTTGTTTTGGATGTAGCAGAGACTAGCATTCAAAAATCTTCTCACCAAGGTCCAAATGCATTTGATCTTCTTATGAAAAACTCACAAAATACTCAACTTCCTGAACTAAAAAAAGAGAATACTCGTAGAGACTTACTTTATAATGATATTATTTGTCTGCTTCAAAATAAAGAAGTCAGATGGAAAAATGCAATGCACAATACTATCGGAAAAAGTTTTATTGAACATTTAACTGCAGCTTTGTGGTATATAGATCCACATTGTATAAAGTTTACAGCACGGTATCTTTCACTTGGAGAATTATTTAATGAATTGGATCAGTATAAGAAGGACCAACATTATAATCTTTTTTATAATACTGGAAAACATGCTAAATCTAATCTTAAACATGATAAACTTGAGCAACTAGCTTCCTCATTAGAACTATCAGCAATACAGCCATGGGCAGCAAATAATAATTGGGCATTAATTATTAATGAGGTTTTTATCTTGATATCTTCGATGCGAAAATATGCAAATAACTTGGAGCAAATTAACCAAGCTATGAAAAAAATACACTTAAGTGATACACCAGCACGTCAACCGGCTAATGATCTAAAAGTATATACGATTGAGTCTTGTCAAAAGATTAATATACAATACCAACAACTTCAAGATTTTTTATCTAATGTTGATGATTATAGTGAAACTAATCTAGAAAGATTTTTACCTGAAGACATAGTACAATGTTATCATTATATTAAGAACCTTCAAATAAAATTTCCAGTTACTTTATATCGTTATTATCAAGGTAATTATCTTGGTACTATTAACTATATTTGGAAGGT